GCTTGCGCGGGGGAAGGGTCTTCACCTGGGCAAGGGTCTTCTTGACCTGTGGGTGTGTTTTTTAGTATTATAATGAAGGCAGTTCACTTCAGGACACCTTAAAAGTAAGTTTTGTTGCCAAGTTGGCCAGCTAAATATCTACCTTGCCAGGTTGTCAAATAACTCATCCTATATACAATAGAACCCAGGTGCTCTGGTTATGGTCTAGAGTCCAGAGAATAGGGACTTCAAGAAACACAGCCTCAGATAGCAAGTAATGCAGCAACCCATACATAACGCTAACATAGAGGCTAACTTCTTGAAATCAAGATGTTCTTATAGTTGATTATTTCACAACCAAACATAGAAAGATTCAGTAAAACTTAAGATAATCTTCAACAGTAAAGTGGTGCGTCTCTGGTAATAGTGAATCAGTTCCACTCAGCCAGCCAAGAATGGATGAGTTCTGTAAGCATGCACTTTCAGCTGATGTGGGGATGCCTACTTCTTAGAGTACTGTGTATTAAGTTACCCTTGTCTGTTTTTCCGTACTGCACAGGTTTCTGCATATCTAAGTCTTGCATATAACTAGCCTGGGAGCACTACTTAGTAGTTGCCCTGCTGTTCTAGGAAAGCTGATCACTGCATGTGGAGCCCAGCAAGAGCAAATGGCTGACCTTGGTTCACAGGTGGAAGTATTGTTGAAAGCTAGTGCTGTGGTTACTCTTGTGTCAAGTTGCTTACTGAGGTTAGAGAACTCTGCTGGGACGCTTTGGATGAGCCTTTTTAGACTGCAGTCTTCGTAATGATGCTTGTTCTTTTGGGAAGTTTTCTTCCTCTTTTGCTGAAGTTAAATACATGCAGTATGTATGATGAAATTGTATGATAACTTTAGGGTATATGCTTCAACATTTCCCTTGGAAACAGCTCTACTAAATAAATACTGAAATATTAATAGTACAGAGCCTTTTTGCACAGGTGCCAGTTGTACTGGTCTTAGTGCAGTCTCTGTTCATCACTAGCTACAGCCCACCAGTTCTTTTGGGAAGCTACAATTCTGTTTCCAACTCAATTGTTTTATTTGAAAAAGCACAGCAGAAATGTGCGTGCACCCTGCTTGTCTCCACTACTGATGAGAATCTGCTGTCCTGAAAAGAGTCAAATGAGAAAGCTTTGATCTCAAAAAAAAGAAAAACAAACAAACCTAGGTGCAATTCTGTGCAGCTTGCCTGAAAACCATCAGATAGGCAAGAGTAGTGACGTATATGGAGGAGGCAGACACAGGGTAAAATTACACTAATCAATGCTCTTAGAGCAGTGAAATCTTTTTAAGACCTCTTCTGCCCATCCCTGAGAGTGCTGAAAACAGAGGGGATTGGCCTGCATGTGGTACTTCAGAGCTAGAATGAAAACATAATGTTAGTTATAGACAGAAGCAAACAGTAAAGTTGACTGGGAGAAAAAAAAAAAGAGGCAAAATAGTTGTGGAAGTTTTGCTGCATAAAATATTGGAGTTGAGCATATGAAGCATTGTTGCTGTGAAATACAAATCATTTGGAGCATTGATACAGATTCAGCTTCAGAAAAATGAGTGTTCTGCTACAACTTAACTTTTACTTGGTGATATTTCCCTTTAAATATAAGAAGTAAATATTTCCTTGAAAGTAAATTATCCTTCTGGTATTACTATATGCCAGCCTCTTCTGGATGTTTTTGGTTTCCACTCCCTGAGAAATGCATGCTGTTCTGCAAGGTACTTGCCCTTTGTTTTGTATGTAATGGGCACATATGAATAGATATATAAATACTTTATAAATTACTTGATTGGTTGTTACCATCTTCTCTCATGGGACTGATCTCTCTTGGAAGTGTTATATCAGAGAGAATGATGCCTTTTAATATTAATTTCATAAACTCCATTAAATGAGATTTCAAATCAATTCTTGAGGACTCCAGTCTCCAATTTAGAGCTGGTAATAAGTCACTGTGTCCACTCCAAAGCATGTTAAAGTAACTGGAAGAATGCCAAATGGCTTAAATGGTTTTTGCATCAGGGCTTTTATAAAGTGCAGCACTTTTTCCACTTAGATATATAGTAGATCATTTCGATAACTGTTTGAACGTAAGATCAGCTTGCAGCTCATCTGTTTTTTTTCCTGCCTCCTGAATCTACAGCATCTTGGTTCTTCCAGGGCTGCGGAGTAAGAATTAAAGTATAATTGCTAAACATCTCTGCCTTGGAGGAATTAGGCTCTTGCTGACTAATGTTACTTTTTTAGTGCTTAGTGGTGTCCATTGAACCTTTTGTGACCAACAACTTGAAAAGCATTGTACTAGATATTCGGTGTCTTCATTAATATTGTGAACAAATTACTCAGGTTCCCTTAAAGGTTTAAGATTTTACACAAATAACCAGTTTGCTTTTTCCAAAAACAAAAAGGAGGAAACAGACAAGTGTTTAATATGCTAGAGTTGTGCTTATTCAAACTTAACGAAGTAGCATTTAAATTCAAAATCTGACTCTCACATTGCATGCAAGATGTGTAGTTTGTTTTGGTTCATCTTTTCCTCTTACCAGGAAGAAGCCTGATGCTAGAAGACTCAGGGTTTGGGTTTTTTTTAAAGAGGTACCTTACTTCATGCATGGTATGTGCTGAATGAGTTGGTTTGGTCCTTGAGGACTTCAATAGTTGAAAGCTCTGTCTGTAACTCTGCTGTTTTAAATATGCTCATGCTAGGGAAGAATTTTTTTCCAAGCCCTTCTTCTAGTAGTTACTCCCTTTCATCTCCATCTGTCGTAACCTTTTCATGAGTGTGACCATCTGTTGTGGTAATGACTAGCTCTTGCTGCATTTCCTAATGGATGCTGTCCTACTAGAGTTTCTTCTTTTGGATTTAAAGAGAAGTAAAAAGGTGGTAATGCTGAGGTTTATTTTCAGCTGCAGTTGAGGCAGCCTTGTATTCTGTCATTAGAAACTGGTGCTTAAATTAAGGCTGTTGGTCTGCTTTTTTTTGTTTCTTTCATTCAAGCAGTAGTAGAATTATACAAATATGACTCTATTAATGTAGTGTGTGGTGCTGCACTTTCTCAGTGAGGTATTAATCCATGCTGCTGTTCCCGTTTGTTTAGCTTGTGTAAGTTCTGTTTATTCCGATTGAATTCAGTAATTATAGCTGCTAAGCCTAAATGTGTATCAAGGAGTTTAGAAGTCATGGAGTTTCTTTCCTAAGGTGGGATAGATCTGGTCAAAATCAATAGATCCCTCTGATGGTCAAATGTGTTGCCTAGAAAGTAAAGCAAGCGGGGAGTATGCTGTCACTGGCACCAGCTAACAGTACAGACAGGGAATTGTGAGTTTTAACCCTACACACAAAAGTTTCATATTAATTAAACACCCTCTGTGTGATGGTACAGGCACAGAAAGAGCTTAGGAACCAGGCTACAGAGAAATTGCTTGTACACTTCAGGGTGTTGATTCTGTACCTTGTCTGAATTGGGATCCTGTGCTTTCTAGCATGTCTAAGATGGGCTTTTCCTCTTTTCCCAAAGCTGTGCTTTAGCAGTCTTATTTTTCCCTATTTTGTCCAGCCTACAACTGCTCTGTTCACATCTGGGATTTAATTGGATTACAGTGCATTAGCCTTTTGTTAGTTGGGCAGGAAGGAGACTTGAGAGCCAGAATTTAGTTTATAGCCAAGGAAAGTAGGGCAGCCAGAGGTTTTGGGGATATAAGTCACAGACTATGTTCTTTTCTGTGTTTCCTTGGCGTATACTAGATTGAGTTTCTGAGCTGAGTTGTTTGAGGTATGGAGCTGGGCTGGGCAGCTCAGGAGAACATGACATCTTGAAAAACCTGAAAAATGCAGATATTACCCTCATGAATCATATGCTTGGGTATGGAAGGAGACAACAGTAGTGAAATTATTGCACGTTATCTTACTCATACGCTTATGTCCAAATTTAGATTTGATTTTTTGCAATTTAAGGATTATTGCTACAGAATCTTACTCTGCAATACAGAGAGCCACGATTATATTATAGAAAACAAAACGCTGCCTTTGTTGGAGAACAAAAGGGATTAATTTCCTTTCTTATATTTTCCTTGGAGCAATGATCTGGAGTTGAAATCCAATCTGAATATAACATTTCTTTAACAAGCGCCAGTTGTCATCAAACCAGTGGTTAATAGTGCTATAGTTAAAAGATCTCATAATCAAGGACTTCATCAATCTAAAAAGCAACATAAATTACAGGTTAAAAACAATGTTGGACTGAAGTGTGGTGCTCTTAAAGGCAGAACAGGAAACTGTCTGCATAGAAGTAGGTAATAACATCGTAAAATCTTAACAATAAATGTGATCTAGATTCATGGGCCCACAGCATGATTCTCTGATGAACTACTCTTCTCTTTCGGGTACAAAGGGACGGCAACGTACTCAAGTTTTCTACTGAGGGTAACACAGTCGAAATCAAATTCTGCCTGTGTTTTAGATACTTAGGGAAGTATTGAAAAGTGGTACTTAGGAGTCAGCTATTGCAAGATCTTGCTGACAAGCAAAATTCAGGTTTTCCTTTTAAAAACGAACAACAACCAACCAACAAAAACCATGAAGTGGGATTCATAGCAGCTAGACCTTTTTGACAGTGTGAGGAAGGGGATCAGTGGCTGTTCAGACCGACCTTCAGGAAATGTCATTATGTGTGTTCCTTGAGAAGGAAAAGGAGACACTTACTGAGTAGAGGTTTGCCCATCAGAAATGTGAGGTATACCAATTTCCACATACTAGCAAAATGTTTCCCAGTTCTGAATGGAGAGCTTGAATCTTATGCCAAATTTAGTCCCTAAGCCTTGTTAGTGCTCAAAAAACCCCAAACAAAACAGTGGAGGGATGTTGCTTCCTTCTGTGTCAGTTAAACAGGATGTGGGTGAACGCAGGCTCAATTCTTTTCGTTAGAGTTGTAGCAGAGACTTGAATGTAGGATGGGCTGGAAGAAGTATCTTCTGGACTCACCTGCTTAAATACTTAATTGGACTTAAGACACACCCATACCTTTCTCTGCTCAAATGAAGGCTACTAAACACCAGGCCTAAATGTTTGCTGTTTCTCAGGTTTCATGATCAGAAGTTTTTTGAGAGAATAATTTATTTCAGTGGTTTAAGAGGGAGTCTGACTTACAAGATACGGAAAACTTGCTTTAAGACAGCCATAGGATTAACTATGAGCTTGGAAGGAAAATAAAAACTTATTTATAGCTATTTGAAAACCAAAACCCAACAACTTGCCTCATAGGCTTCTGGTGCAAAAAAATATTTTGTCTTTGGGTAGCATGGCCTGCAGAGAATTGTTGGTCCTACTTGAAGCTGTCATTTGAAATTGTCAGCTTTTGACTGTGATTTAGGTAAGGGTTTCCTCCTAGTTCATTTAAGTAATAGATTTTGATCTTGTTCTGCATTGGTGCTTTATTTCCTTAGAAGTTGATAGTGGTTGGAAACCGTTAAGACACACTGATTTGTGTATAAATGTAACTCTTTTGCTGGTTCTGGAACCTTTTCTCGCTACCCAGAAGGACAGGCATTTAAATAATTGTGGAATTTGTTTGTTCATATTGTTACAAGACTTGTGTTAAAATGGTGATTGACACTTTATATTGATTCTTTCTTACTTGTGACTTGTCAAGCTTTTTCCATCTGAAGGATGGAAGAATTCAGATAAAAATGCAGAATTATTTTTTTTAATTGGGTAAAAACTGTTAAACATACTGGATATGTTTTGCATTTAAAATCGAGGTGCTGAGTAGAGGAACTATCATACATAGTTTCTTTTGCTACCCTGCACCTGTTCCTGAAAATATGTAATATCTGTCGTCTTCCTTCTCAGTTCTGTCATCTGCTTCCAAAATTCTGAAGTACTGCCTATCACTGTGTATCATATGCCCTTCTGGCATGTGATTATAACATCAAATCGAACTTGAAACTTTTTTTATGATAAAGCTAACATTTCCTAAAGCGTTTGTATTCATCCAGGCTTTAAACTATTTCTCCCCCAACCTGCTGACTATCCTTTTGGACATCTTTGTCCTTGAATCTCCTCTGAAAGAGGCTTAGAGACTTTTTCCATATGGGTAGCAAAAGCAGGTATGTCTGTTTGTCTTGATTCATTTTCAGCACTATTCTTACAGTGAAGGTTTGCTTGTGTAGTAGGGAGCCAACACCAGGAACAAGCAAGCTGTGCAAGAGCCCGGTGAGGCTTGCTGGCTGTGCTGGGACTGGGGATGCCTCTCTGGCAGGTTGCTTGCGGGCCTGGTGCTGAGCCCGGCACACCTCGGTGTGGAGCCATGGGGAGGTGACCACCAGGCAGTGGTGGAATTCATCATGTGGGCGCATCTGTGTGACATTAACTGTTCTGTGCTAGGGTAGGGCTGGTGTCTTCAGTAGAAAACATCTGTAGCTAATCTGATAGGTTTGAATGAAGGTTGAGAAACATCACTGATGTTACTTTTTTTTTTCCTTTTTTCTGTCTCTCCTTACAGTTGGTCCGTTAACCATCACCTTCCGGGTGCGCCCTAGTGAGAAAATGATCATAAAAAAAAATCCTTTTGTTCAGTCTGGTGGCCGCTATAGGCCACCTCACTGCTTGGCCCGCTACAAATCAGCCATCCTTGTAGCTTACAGGAACCAGGAGAAGTACCTTCACCATCTTCTCTACTATATTCATCCTTTCTTGCAGCGTCAGCAGCTCAGTTACAGTATCTACTTGATTCAGCAGGTAAATCTAAATCAGATGTGCCTGGTGGTATAACTGAGCTTCCCAGTTAAGGGTTAGGTTCTGACCAAGAAATGTGAATCTTGTGATGTGGAAGTACGGTTTTACACATGGGTTTAGAGCAGGTCAGTTATCTGCTGTCCCATCTCTATGGCTGCTAATGATTGAAATACCATACCACTTGTCAAGATCATCATTCTGCTATTGATTTGTTCTGCTTTTTTTCCTTCTAGAGGGATAAAGTTGTCATTAAGTGGTAACTTGTATTTTCAGCTGTTCAAGAGTTGAATGTAGTTTGCCTGTAGCTTGTCAGTGTGGCTACTGAGCAAAACTGTTGAGACTAAATGCTAAAGTGAAGTTTGATATTTTTAGTCTGTATCAAATAAAAACATCTGGCTTGACCCTGCTGTGGGCCAACCTGTGCAGGTCAAACAGCCATTTTTAACTAACATGGACAGGTGTTGCAAAAGATCAGTGGTGAGAGAACAAGTTTTGGATTCATTAATTAAAACTGATAGTTGATTGGGAGGGAGAAGAAGCTTTTTTGTTTGACCAAGATCTGTTTTCTCATTTCTAAGCTTTAATAAGCAGTAGTCAGGGCAAAAGCGTTGATGTGCAGATGTACACCTGAGGATTGGCTTACTGGTCTCTTAAGTCAGCCTTCTTCAGGTGCCCATGGTATATAGCCCCTGACACAGCAAAGCTTACAATTGCTGAGAATATTGTGAAGAGAACGGGTGAAATTTTCAGAGTCTGGAGCATGAAATTTGCAGCCAGTATTGATTCATTCCAGTGTCATTCAATTGAATAAGGCTTTTTTACTAGCATAAATTTTTTAATTTACTTATCCTCTTTGTTGTTGTGATGAAGAAATGTAGGTTTTCTTTTCCAGGTGGGAAACGGTACATTTAACCGAGCAAAGCTGCTTAATGTTGGTGTCCGGGAAGCCCTGAAGGATGAAGACTGGGACTGCCTTCTCCTGCATGATGTGGACCTAGTACCTGAGAATGATTATAATCTCTATGTTTGTGATGAATACTATCCCAAGCATATGGCTAGTGCCATGGATAAGTTTCAGTACACGTAAGTGCCTCCATTTGCTTTGGATGTGTGTATCATAATTGGTTCACTTTCTGCATGGAAAGTATGAATGGGGACAGTGAAAGATACAACCTTTAAGAGGTTTTCTGTTCGTTAGTTTTGCACTAATAACTTCCCCAGAAAAGGGTATTCTTGACCTAAGCATGCAATCTTGAACAGTTCCTTGCCTGCAGTTCCCTGTTCTGCTGTTAGCTCAGCTTGGCAAATGACTGGCAGATTTCTGTTTGCCTGTCGTTCCAGAATAAAAGTATAGGGTGGCAATTATTGGATCATGTAGAAGATGTGTGATAGGATGCAGGTATTTTGAACTAACCCAAGATGTGAATTTCAAAACCAGCTTTACTTTGGTCTGCTGCGGGGGGAATGGAACACGATAGGAATTACACTGGGTTTACTGTTTTGGGTTTTGGCATTGTCATGACAGTGGCTGTGAGGTATGCGATTAATATACGTGTGACTTGGATCACGTTGTTAGTTTGTGGAGGACTGGTATTAGCCTTCAATATTGATGCTTTTTTTTTTTTTCTCTTTTAGTCTGCCATATAAGTCCTTTTTTGGGGGTGTATCTGCTCTGACTCCAGAACATTACATGAAGATGAATGGGTTTCCAAACACATACTGGGGCAGTGGTGGTGAAAATGACGACATTGCTACAAGGTACTAAGCACGGGACAGGCTTAAAATAGAACCAAGCTAGCTAGTGAAACATGTAGCATTACCCTGCGAAAGGAACTGAGATGTTGTTCCTTAACGTGCTCGCAGTATCATTATAATCCAAAATGCTGTTGGCATTGGGAACGGTTAATGTCAGAAGATGCTCAGAATCCATGAATCCAATCATTGTGTGCTGGGAGGACAAAGCTTTCCTCAGACTCTGGAGGGCAGAATGTTACTTTACATCCTTGTGCCTTCAGTCGCTCTGGAGTACATCCAAGGGGTTATAACCACCAGTAGTTGACAAGTGACTCCATTGACATGAACAGCCCCAAGGGAAGGAAGGAATCGGCAAGCTTGACAAATAAGAAAACCAAGAAGGTACTTATTAATTCTCAGACAGTTGGGAATTTAAGTTACGTTGGGCATCTAGGTTGCTCCAAGTATTACCTAATCACCAATACTTGGAATTAAGGAACACAAGGAATTCTAACTTCTGTCTTCAGTGCTGGATGATGGAGAAGCCTGTGTGCTACTGTGAGTCAGTGACAGCAAGATCTGATGTTTTTTCTTGTACTTCAGTTGCTGTGGCAGCAGCATGCTATGGAAGTGAGTACAATGAGTTTAGTTCCAGGTACTCTGCCTAATGCGAATTCTTCAAGTACAAAATCATGGCTGTACCTAGCTGCTTTATTCAGCTTTGTAGCTGCACTGTGCACCTTCATCATCCTGCACTGAGGCAAGCTCATGGGGAATTTATAAAACTAAACTGACAATAAAGGCCTTGTGTGTTTTTTGGTCTTGTACAGTGTGACAAGTTACACAGTTTTGGTGGAACGTTCTGTTCGAGGACTGTAGGAGTTTTTACAAAGCAGTATTCTTCTGGGAATTGAAAGTCAGATTTTCTAATGTAGAATTCCTCCTTTTCCTTTCAGAGAAAGCTAACTAAAAGGGTGTATGATTGTTTAGAGATTCAGCATTTACTAGAAGAATGGAATGCTAGGAAAATAGATCTTTAAATCAAACACTACAATGCCGGGTCTGTTCAGCTGTTCTCAGTACAGCTTAGGCAATTAATGTGGATTTCGGTACCAGTGGTAGAGAGTCACGCCAGTTATGCATAAGAGTGCACTTCCTTACAGAAATCTCTTAAGGCAAGTAGGTTCTGTAGATCCCAAAATAGCCCTTTCTTGAAGGGAAGTAAAGCATGTGTTGTTTCTCTGAAAACTTTACTAATGATTAGCAGTGTTCTGGTCCATAGGTACATGGAGGCCATGGACAGTGCCTGTTAATGATTTATTCACATGCTGAAGTCTCAACCTGCAGAAGTCGGGAATGAGCTGGCTATTTTTGAATGGCCAGCTTGATGCACCTACTGGGATTTGGAATTTAGGAGGTGCTCAAGCACTTCTTACCATGTAGCAGCAAAATTAATTAGTATTTGAAATTGGACATTGAAATGTCAAAAAAAAAAAGTCCTGTGTAAAGGTTTTTTGCTGGGATACTGCTTATTAAAGCAGAGTTAGTGAAGAAACATGCTGGCTGCTACTTACAGTTGGCAGATGGCAGTACTCTATAGTATTAGTCCTAGCAAACACCAGGATCTACCTTTTATTGGAAGAAAATACTACTCTAATTGGAACCACTTACGTGTTAACATTATCAACTACAGGAAAGTCTGTTGGGTTCTTCTTAACAGTAAATGAATGTATTAACTGTTTCATATTACAGTTTTAGTTTAATCTTGCAATGCAAAAACTGTAACAGCAAAACTAGTGTTCTTGCTTTTTCTTGTCAATTTAATGTGCAATAAGCTTATGTTCAGAAAACAAGAAACCTTGTCTAAAACTCAGTCTGAAATAATAGTATGTATGTCATACTGTCAATGAAGCATTGTAATAATTTGATGGCTCTAGACTAACAAATATTTTCAGTTCTGTAGCTTCTTTCAGTGTTATAACATTCCTGCTTCAGCACAGCTTGCTGCTGTACCAGATCTCAATGGAAGGCAATCAAATGTTGCAAACATGCCAGTTAGATAACCTCAGCTGAGCAAACATTCATTCTTAGATTCACAGGAATTTTCTCTAAGAGCTGCCCTGTGATAGCGGAGGTTTGCTAGCCCTAGCACTATTACAGGCACTTTTTATTGGTAAACTAACATAGATGCCATCAGCAATGGGTTGCTTGAAAGTCACCCAAAATGCTGTTTTTAGGAGCTCTCTCCTGGAATTCTGAGCCTTCAGTTCACTTTTTTTCTTATCTAACTGTCCTGCAGCTGAGCAGCTCACATTTGTTTGTCTGGTGCCTGTATTTATCGCTAATTGTTTATGAAGCCAGTTCTCTAATCAGGCCATCTGAATGAATTGCACTTCTCAAAGAAGAGAGAGAGGCTTAATCTGGATCTGAAACTTGGGACTGGCTTCCTTTCAGAAACTGCAAGTTTGGGGGTTGGGGTTTTTTTAAAGTTTAGGTGACGGACCTCTAGGCAGTAAAAGCTCTGCTCTTACAAGGAAGTGAAAATACTGCTCAGTTGTCAGATTCATGGGAATTGCTCTGGAATGCTCTGTATGCTGTTGTTCATTCCCTGCTTGCTATAATCCTCTTTGTACCCTGTCGAAGTGCATTGCAGCTGTAAGCTTTCTAGCCCAAGCCTGGTTAGAACCTGCTAGAGAAGATAATGTGGCACTGTGGTGTTAAACTTGCTCCCTTCAGCTTCTATGTTTTGCTTTGATTGCATTAACACTGAAAATCATCTCTGACTTTGAATTCCCCTATAACTATGCCTAGAAATAGTATCTTTATGCCTAAGCAAACATTTTGTTTGTTTTTTTAAAGGATTCAGTTAGCAGGAATGAAAATAGTCCGGACATCACCTCACCTTGGACGCTACAAAGTGATGGACTACAATGAAGAGACAGAGACACAAGAGCCTTGGAGAAGGTAACTGTCCTAGAGGGGGGAGGCAGTTAGGAGGCTACTCTTTGTCTTGTGGCAGGTTGACTGTTACTATCATCTTCCTCAGAACAGGCAGTAAGTATACCTAATGCCACTGCTTGTTTTTCTGCTTTAATGTGGCTATTTAAAGAAGGCTCCCAGTCAGTTTCAACTGAATTGTTCTGCTCCTGTCTCTGCATTTGAAGGGTTTCTCCTAGTTTTCTACTTTTTTCCTATTGTTAAGGACATTTGCTGGCTAGGAAGCTAACACATATCAGACTTAGGCATCAAATTATTTGGGGAATAAAACCTAAAAAAAAAAAAAAATCCTGCCTGTCTTGTAAATAGGGAGAGTTCAGTTTGAAGAGGCACTTTTTTATTATAGGGAATTTGTAACAACTTGCTCTTCAATCTGTGTGGATGTACAACGTGCCATTAAAATAGCGGAAAGGAGCATTCTAGTTTGAAGACATGAGGAAGGTGCTGTGAGAGACCTTAGCAAAGACCCAGTTTTACATAAAAGAGCTGGAGGAGCGTGTTGGGTCAAGTGTGGTGGAGGCTTCTCATACTGACAGTGCAGACTTCCCTCTATCATCTCAAAACTCAGGTTCCCATAACAACCCTGTCTTAAAACCTACCTACAGCAGCCAATGTACACCATTGCTGCAAGCCTCTGCGTTGCACTCCCAGGTCTCTCTAAGCTGCTGCCAGTTTCTTGGTTTTTTGCGGACTGTAGTTGCTGTGTCACTGGTCTCCCTGTCTGATTAGGTTCCAGTCCAAATTGTCCTTGTTTAGAATACTCAGCATGAACTTATCCGTTTAGTCTTACAAAATGCCTTCTCTCTCTAGTCTGTATTATGTGAGAAGAGTTTTCTTGGGGCTTTTCTGCTAGCAGCTTTCGTCTGCTAAGCCCTTGCCCCCTCTGGAAGTCTGTTTCTTTTGCAGCTTCAGCTGCAAACATCACCTTTGTTCTTCTGTCTAACTGCAGGTATTCTTCCTTCTTCAGGCCTACTTCCCGACACAACACCATAAAAACATGGAAGGATGATGGAATGAATTCGTTAGAGTTCAAGCTCCTTTCCAGGACAGAGCATCCTCTTTATACCAACATCACTGTGGACATTGGTTATGTTCCCCCATTTTCTTAAGAGAATGAAAACAAAAGCAGAGTTTGGGCTCAGCATGGCAGCATGCATATGGGCATTCAGCCTCTACCTCCTGTTGTGGTGTGGAATCTGCACCACCTGAGACTAACCCTTTTGTCTTTCACTTTCCTCCTGACTGTTTAAGAGTTAGAAGAAAAGGCTTCAGGAATAGGGTATGATAGCTAATAAACAGGCTGTGGCTTACTGTAAAACTAACTACTGAGTCAGACCCACCTCCCAGCCCTTGGGATCAAGGTCTCCTTGACAGTAAGCTGACCCAGGTTTTCTGGAACCTTTGTTCCATAGGTGGATAGCTCTGTCCTGCTTCTTACTTAAGTGTTAATTGGGATGCAAGCCATTCTGTCAGACAGGCCTCTGAAGTACTGTATTTTGAGAAAGTGTTGAAGCCATTACAGTTTTGTAAGTATCTTTTGTCAATTTGAATAAAATAAATTGAGTTATGTGTTTGGGTTGAGATTTTCTAGAATATTTAATAAGTGTAATAAAGGAGAAAGTTGCCCTGATACCAGATACAACCAGAGCTTAAGTCCTTGGGTTCTTTCTGGCCTGATCCATCAGTGTTTAAATGTTTTTATTGTAGCTGTAAGTAATTCAGGCTGAATAGGTGATGTAGCTGTAAGTAATTCAGGCTGAATAGGACCTGAGGCTGTCACCTAGACTAACCTCCTGCTCAGACTAGGGAAATTAATCTAGTGTTTCAGCTGTTGCTCAAACATTAATTATCTTTCAAGGTTGATATGCCTTCAACATAAAATACTTCTGAGAAATTAAATACAAGAGAAAAAACAACTTAAGTCAAACATGTCAACAGTGGAGCTGTGACCCTGGCAGGAATGCATTTCTACTTACCTGACTGTGAGACTGATGCAGTCTCTCCAAGACCTTCCCCTTCCCGTAATCTATCTTTCTCTATAAAATAGCACTGCCTACCAGGTCCAGTTATTTTGCAAGCATGACACAGGATATTTTTGCTTGTTACTTGTAGATACTAAAATTCCCTGTTCACTGAAAAGCTGCATCTATCCCATTAACACCTAAGAATTTATTTAAAGCTTCAGCCTTCTCTACAGTTGGAATAATGTGTCAACCAGCTAGAGAACCATTCTTCAATATTATAGTAAGCAGAAGTTGCTTTTTGTCTTGTAATTCTTAATATATTGTGTCCTAAAAGAAACTCTCCCCACCCTGGCTTCACATCTACCTGCAAGGGATGCATATCCAACAGGCAGGTGTAAGGACAGTAAGGAAAGGAAAGTGCTCTAATCAAGATTTTAGCAGAAATCCTGCAGCATACTGGAACAGGTAGTTAACCATAGACTTTCACCAATCTTCTAAAACAAGAATCACATATAATAATGGCCTGGGTATGTATACAAATTGCACTCTGCTAACAGTGTGGCCCAAAGCATTAAGAAATGTGGACAGCAATTTCTTGGCCCCTGCCTTTCCTTCCAGATCTCTCCAGAATAACGCAACCTGCAGCCTGCTGCAGAACCGAGACTTTCATTTTGCCACAGGACACTTCAGCAGTCCCACAGCAGGGTGAGCTGAGCTCATGAAGGACAAGAGAAGCCTTTTGAGTTCAATGGAGTGTATTTATTGAGAGATTTTTAACATCTCCTCACCTATTACCAATATTGCCCTTCCCTCACACATAAGCAGTTTTTCCTCAGGCTGGAAAAAATTAGCTTTTCTCAGCAAGTTTGTAGTTGGTGAAGAATTCTTGTGCTTTTAATGAGAAAAGACTGGCCTGTTCCTTTTGAAGTCATGGCAGTGCTAGGCTGCCTTCCCCCTACAACAAGTAAATTTAGGAATAGTTGCAAGAACAAATTTTTTCTCAGGACACTTAGTTCAAGCCCTTCCACTGGACCAGCCCAAACAAGGACACTTTTGTAAATGTCCCAGCAGAAAGTGCATAGAAGAACACAAGGACCTGTCCCTTAGGACAGTCCCTATCTCCAGTCCTCACAAAAGGAAATTCTCAACCAACCAATTAGATGCTGTGAAGAAAGACTTTCTTCTCTGCTACTGAAGTACTCCTTCAAGCAGAGTGCCAGAGTCATCTGCTGTAACAGCAACCACAAACACGATCTGTTGCCGTTTCCAATAACCTGTGTGGTGTTTGCCCTTAAGAGATCTTCGGCTCCATGCTGAAATCCACCGTGATGTTGACATATAAAGGGTTACGTTCCACTGAGAGCAGTTTATACGAACAAGAGTTCAGCCCATCTGTTTTCCACGTTCTAGATACCTGACCTAGAAGCTTCATCCTGAGGACAGAGAGGAGAAAAATCTTCATTGCCATGCATAGGAGAGGAGTTTTGAGCTCTTTCCCACTACTAGTAAACTTGAGGCAGAGCTACAGCCATTCTGTATCTACTGGGAATGTAAAGTCATGCTTTTCCTGTCCTCAGCATGGACAGCTGGACATGGGGAAAACAGTCCTTTGGTTTAATCTCTGAAATCATACGCTCAAATAATATCCATGTAGCTTTGGAAGTTTCTAAGGAACATCATCCAGTCGATTCTAGGCAGATCTCATGTACTGAACAACAGCTGCCAGCTGTGAGCAGTGGTGTCACAGGACTCACCCCCAAAGCCTCTGTGTACCACAAAATGCCTGTTTGGCTTAGAGCAAAGAACTTTGCCCCCAGGTGCCTGGCTCCTAGCCACGTACCAAGACAATGCAAGGTGGAACACTGTTCTTGACTCACCTCTCTCCATTCTCTTCATTACCATGGTCTCGTCTATGGAAGATCATTGTGTACCTGGCTACATCAGGAGATGGCCTTACCACTCTCATCTTCTGCATCTCAACCCTGGAAGAAACAATAGTGCCATGAGCAAGAAATCACCTATAAACAAGCTCTTAAGGAAAAAAAAACCACCACCACACAAACCACCAAAACAAACACCAACATTTGGAGACTTCATCTCTTGTAGATGCCATTGAAGCAAGCACAGGGAATCGTAGGAAACTCATCTTCATCTCTTCCATGACCCATTTTGCCAGAGAAATGGGGCTCAGAGTTGTGTTTCTGGAGAACAGGTCCAGTAGGGTGACAGATAGCCCTTTCTTTTAAACAGAAGCAGGTAGCTACTACAGTAGAGATCATGTAGAGCTTTAAACACACATTTATACAACAGAGTACATTTAAATTAGTATTTTCTGGTCTAGTTTGTACTGCCCTGTATTAAACCTAGGAGGTCTGTAGCAAGATTCCACCCTTTTTGCAACAAGTTCATCTCAACTGCTGCAATAAAGCCCCTATACTTGATAGTTCTCCACTTAAAAAAAAAAAAAGCTTGTTTTCTTTTTTAATAGTTGGCAGACAGCTGCAAAATTTTTATTTGTTGACATGAAGAAAACTTACTTTCTGAGAACAGTGCCAGAAACACTGAGCCCCATGCATGGATTTAAGTGTCTGACATCAGGCACTTGATTGGAGCTTTTGGCCTTAAACATCTGTGGAGCACAACAATTTTGCTCTGTCAGCAGAAAACATTAACTTCATGACAGTGGAATTAAGGAATAGCCCAGGTCTTTGCTAGTCACAGCAGCAGCTGAAAGAGCAATATGAAACCAAGAATTGAAGAAACTGAGCCCCTACAGTTTTCCAATGACTGTTTGTAGCAGTAAGTTATCAAACAAATATAACAAATGATCTGAAAAGTCTCTTTGTGATGCACACCTTAGGAAGGGGCCCAAAAGAGACCATCACATTTAACGTAGAGGCAAAACAGTAGGACCTAAGAGCACTCCAGCCCAGAGTTCTTGAAGATACTGAAGGGGATGCTGCCATCTGCTGTCTTCACACAGGAAGGCTGCAAGGATCTCTCCGTGCAGCCACCCACCGAGACAGCAAGCTTCCCATTACCTACCCACTGCAAACTCCATAACCAGCCCAGTCCAAGATCCACCCTTCCATGGAAAGGCATGAGCCAAGTCCAGTTGCAGTGTGCACTCTGGGTCATACAATTTGGTTTCCACACCAAGACCACAACAGCTGCAAAGTTATGAGGTGCCACGCACAAGCAGGCATCGCTTTTGATTCCAACCACTTGCAAACATTGTGGAGACCCTCAGTAAATCCTGCTGATCTGCTGCCCACAGGAACATTTGAAAGAACACCACTATCACCTTTGTTCGCTCATGAACTGTGACACTTCTCAGGAACCTGGGGAATAAGATGGTACCAAGCCATCCCCTACCACTATAAAAGCCAGCTCCCAAGAGGTCACAGAGAAGAAGTTGGTGTGTCTAGCTAGGGGTAGAGAGAAAAAGAAAGTTGTGATTAAGAAGGGACAGAAATCCATGTCACCAGTAGACCTTTTAGATTTCTTGAGATACAGCTGACTGGTCTGCTGAACTGACACAGCGAAAAACTTTCATTTGGAAGTTCCTAACTTTAACACACTTGATTTCACCAGTGTAATTATTTAATATCACCAGGGGTATGAATTTTATGTCCCCCAAACGTTTGTTTGCATATTTAAGCAATTGAAAAGGATAAACACTTGAAGAATGACAGAGTATACCCAAGTTACAAATTGACAGGCTCTGCCAGCAGAGCTTGTGGGGTTTTTTGGTTTTTTTCCTTCCTTCACTAACAGCAGCACAGGATTAGAGGTTTCCTCCTAGGCAAAGGGCAAAAGATCAACATAAAAGTTTTGTCGACTTCTTTGTCCTACTAAACCTTTCAAACTAATAAGTTTCTCCTACTTTGACAGGCACGTCTGCAGACCTAGTTTTAACAAGAGCAAAGGGCATATGCATATACATGCAGTCTTTCTAAAATTCAAGTTACTCACTATCTTAACTATCATCACCACCACCCACATACAAACTAAGCCCTGCTTGGAGTAAATCATGGTAGTCAATGAATGCAGAAAACCCAATCCCACCAAAACCAACATACTCCCATGCTCTCGCAAAGTATTGGAACTCAATACATCTGTGTCTCTTCGGCAAATCACACTCCAGACTTCAATCTTATTATTTCGGTTATAAGCAATTTCCAAGTGAGAATACAAAAAAAAACCACCAAAAAAACCTGCACACAAACACACACACCTCACAACAAACCCCATACCCAACCAACAATGCTGTCAGGAGGAGGACCAGGTCTCAGGCGTGCCTAACCTTTTCAAAGAGGAAACCATTCACAGAACTGCATCTCACACTCCAAATCCCCACTGCAATACTGTTTTGAGTTGAAGGCTCCCATAGTGTTCCACCTTTGGAGGCTAGGTGTGAAGTCACACCGATTTTTTTGTTTTTTAAATCGATGCCTCCCCCTCTCACACCCATTTCCCTCTAGCCTTTTATTTATTTATTACCTGATTCGAAGGTCGTCATCTTCTCCACCCCAACCCCAGTAGTTGTTAGAGAATCCATTCACCTTGGAAAACTGATCTCTTGTTAGAGCAGTTACACCTCCA